AACATCATAGGCTGCCTTACTTTTGTACATTAGTTAGAGAGATTCGTATAGTATGTGCTCCTATGTCTGCTTTTTTTGCTCAGCAGTCATGTGAGGAGTGTCCATATTGTGAGGTATAGTTCTAGACCTTCCCTCTCACTTTGCTGTAATAGTTTTCCCACTGTACCACCCTCATCAGCCTGCTTACCACTCCCTAGTGCCCACTTAATATCCATCTCCCCTACAAAAGAAGAAGTTCTGTGGGGTGAATATCCTAATTATCTTGTTCACCACTCCACCCCCAGCACAAAGAGTGCAGGATCAGTGAGTGATATTAGTTTGGGGAACAGCTCAAAAAAAATCACTGTTGAATGAATGAATGCATAAAAGAATGTATAATTTGTTAAGACTCTCAGTGCCTCCTCTGGGACAAGGGCATAAAAAATAATCCTTAATGTGTGTACCTGCTAATAAGGAAGGCTAAGGGGTGCCCATAGGTCAGAAATGGCAAACCATTTGAGCTCGGCGTGTCAGCATTTTGAAAAACCCTAACTTAACTCTGGTGCCATGTCACATATAGAAATTTTTTGATATTTTCAACCATAGTAAAACAAAGATTTATATTTTTGATATTTATTTTACATATTTAAATGCCATTTAACAAAGAAAAATCAACCAAAAAATGAGTTCGCGTGTCACCTCTGACACGCGTGTCATAGGTTCACCATCACTGCCATAGGTGCTGAGGAAGGAGCAGCAGAACTCAGTGTACCCAGGGCACAGTAGGGTCCTTGACCTGCACCATTTCCTCCCCCACCCCCGCCTTTGCACCCAGACCTCAGCCTCATTGGTCATCACTGCTGGGCAGCTCAGGGTCTGCTTCTTAGCCTCCCAGGCTGGACCTGAGCCACAGACCTGAGGACAGCCCAGGCAACTTTGGCCAAGAGCCAGTCACATGGTTCCCTGGGGCTGTCTCTCACCTGACTCACCAGCTGGCCGGGAGGATGGTGTGCACCTGTCTGTCTGTGTCTACATGTCTGTGTGTGCCCGTTTGTCCGTGTGTGGGGGGCCGTCTGGCCATACTCGTAACAAACCCAACACAGCCCCTCATCGCAATGAGGGCAATGACTCTTAGAGTCAGCTGTGCCCAAGAAGAACATACAGCTTGGCCCCTGCCCAGGGTGCCTCGCCTAGGGGAGGGAGCAGCAGAGGAGAGAGCAGACCTGACATGTCACAGAATCTCAAAACTGATCAAGAGGAAGGCCCCGGGAGATGCCTTAGCCCAGTATGACATGGGTTCCTGAAACATGACTCACTGAGGTGCTCTGTAAAGAATGACAGTCTGCACTCTGGGCAGTTTGAGAAACACAGCTCTCCCTATCCACCTCTCTCAGAATCACAACCACGCGGGCATATTTGAGGCTCTGAGACGCCCTGAAGAAAAGCACCTGTTACAGTCGCTTAGCCCAGCAATTCATCAGCTAGATGATGTAAATAGACAGATGATAGATGATAAATACTTGTGTGTGAGAGAGAGATTGAGGTTGATTTTTGTAGTTCATTAAACTCTACAGAACACACTTATAAATCGCACTGGTCTAGTCTAGCCATTTTCATTTCATAAGTGGAGTAATTGGGGCTCAGAAAGGGCTTTGTGTGAGATCACAACCCTGGTAGAAGGCACAGCTGGGACTAGCACGCAGGCCTCCTAATTCCCAGGTCCAGGCTCTTTCCAACAGGCCTTGTTCCCTTTTTTGTGTTTAACTCTAAACCCCAGGGTTTCTGGTAATCGAAGAGATCGATGCTATTTTCAAAACAAATCCTGGTGTTGGTGATTGTGCTGCGTGACTCCGCATGGCTTCCCTCGCAGGCATGCCCTCTACCGAGCGTCCCAGATCCTCAGGCCCACTGTGGGCGATGCGGGCCCAGGGCAGACGCCTGCACTCCAGGCCTGGTGGTGGTCCCTGGCTCTGCCAAGGGCAGGAGCCTGGGTGCTTGGATCCTGCTATCTATTTGAGTCAGGGAGGTAGGTTTCCTGGTAGGATGGGTGTCCTCAAAGGGGGATCAGGTGGGAGAAATGAAAGCTGAGGCCTGCCCTAGGCCTTGCAGTGCTTCCACAGGGCTCAGCTTCTGGAACCCGAGCTGCCTTCCCTGCCCCTCTTCCTCAGCTACAGTCCTGGCACCCCATCTCTCACATTCTACTCCCTGAGCTCCCAGCCGCAGCGACCTCTCCCCCACTGCACACACAACAGTACAGAGAGATGCCATGACCTTCAGGGCACTCAGCATCCACTGACCCCCGCCACGCTGTCACTGTTGTATGGCTACTTAATGCTTCACACCGCACATCCTGCACCCCCCACCCCCGGCAGCCTTAATGCTTCCAGAGCACAGGGCAGCCCTAATAAGCACTTAGGGACCAGTGCTGGGCTCTGCGGGACACATGCATGGAAGGGAGAGGGCCGCCTCACAGTGCCTGGCATGGTGCTTGGCACAGAACAAGCAAAGAGGGCTCCTCTGGGGTTGATCAGCAACTCACCAAATCCAACAGCAAAACAGGATTCCCGATGAATATTGACGGCATCAGACAGAGAATCAGGGAGCAGTGGGCTCGAGGTTCCCCACAAGGTCCCATGACCAAGTCACCCTTTCAAGGTCTCCGGTCCCTCAACAGCACAAAATCGGAGTGGAGGGTGTGTGTGGGAACTTCTGGCTCTAAAACTCTGATTTGATTATAGAGTCATAAAGAGGAAGAAACCGAAGGCACTTTTTCACCATTCTCCCCTCCAGCCCCATAGCACAGAAGATACTGAATAAAGTCTTGCACCCAGGCTCAAGCAAGGGCACTCCTCCAACTCAAGGCACCTTGCAGGAATAAATCTAGCAAAACATGCTTTAGACCCAAAAGCCAGTGGCTTTTGATATGCTAACCAAAGTCACATAAAATAGGAGATTCCATCGTGAAGACAGGTCCCCTTGGGCTGGTAATCTGGACCAGATGTGGACAGGAAGCTGTGAGGTGACAGTCTCACCTCCTGATCTTTAGGTAAGACCCCTATGAGGGCCATTTCTCCTCCTCCAATCCCCTCCCCACCCCACCCCACCCCACCCCTTTGCAGACTTGCTTAAGCCCTCGGCAATGAACAGTGATGCCCCTGCCGACTCCGGCCCTCTCTCCCCATGTTGCCCAGGACTCCTCCATCTCTGAGGCTTCTCTGCAGCTGGAAAAGGGGGGGAGGGGCTGCCCACACTTCCCGCTTTTCCAGGGAGCAGGGCCTCTGGGGGTGAAGGCAAGACAAACACAGACCCGCAGACAGAGCAGAAAAGAGTCAACAACAAGCACTGTTTGTATCTGCCCCTGCGTCTGAGACACACAGCCCAGTTCCTGGGGGCCTGCCAGGCTGGCTTATTGTCTGGCGCTGTTTGCCTTTGGGGCTATGGGTGCCTGGAGTGGGAGGGAGAAAGAGGCTGGAGTGGGGGCAGGGAGCAGGGCTCGGCACCAGACCAGGCAGCCAGACTTGGCAGCAAAGGCCATGGTATGGAGCCCCCAGGCAAGGGTCACTGGAACCAGCAGCCTTCCGACCCCCGGTCTGCAGGGTCAGATGTTCCCACCTCTCCAAACACCTCTGGGAACCGATGCCTTCCCTCCCCCCAGGGCCCCTCAGGACCCAGATGACTTCTCAGGGCTTCCACCCTGACACACCCCTGACCCCCACTAAAAACGTTAAAGAAGACAAGTGTGGCCAAGAGGGTGCTCCGGGACCTTACAAAGTCCGCCCTTACGAAGTGCCTGCCTTACAGAGTCCACCCTTCCCCAAACCATGACCTGTGGCTTGTGATGGCCCCTCAAACCCAGCTCCCGGATGAATAGCGCTCCATCAGCTGTGTGTGTGTGATTAGACACAGAGCGGCCCCAGATGCCTCCAGCTGCACAAGGCAGCGTGGGTCCAGAGCCCTGTCACCCTGAGCTGTGGGACCCTGCGCAAGCCACTCCTCTTGGAAAATGAGGGGTTGGATTCTTGGATTTCTAAGGGCCCTTCCCACTTCCGAGTGCTATAACCACCACCGTACAGTGAAGATCTTCAGTTCCCCTGGACAGCAGGGCAGAACTTGATATTACAGAAATGCTACAGGAAGGACAGGAAGCTGTGAGGTGACACAGTCTCACAGCTTTTGGCCAGAGAGATTTCAAGCCACCAACCAAGACATGCTTCTATTGAGGTATTTATACCACACCATGGACTACACACATGTTGTACATTATCGTGCTGTAAGGTGCGATACACATTTTGGAGTATATTCCACACTTGGTGCATATGCCATACTTCAGGGGATATACATACCCTTTGGACTATGTACATACTTTAGGGCATATAGACACCCTGCGGTATGTGCACACTCTGTGGATATCCACACACTTGGGATATAGCCCATACTTTGTGCACATGGCACACTTTGTGTAGAGCCCTCACTGCTGGCAGCATTCTGCAAAATGGTAACCATGCGACTCTGGCAAGGCTCTGGGGTTAAGAATACAGACCCTGGAACCAGACAAAGCTGGATACGAAGCATTTCCACCTCTTGTTAACCTTGGGCCAATCACTTGCCCTCTGAGACTCAGTTTCTTCACCTGTAAAATGGATATAATAATATTCCTTAATTCATAGGGTTTGTGGGAAGATTAAATGAAGCAAAACCTATAGTGGGCTCCTCATTGTGTCCAGCACATAAAAAAAAAAACACACACTTAATAAATGGTAGCTTTGTTGTTGCTTGCACTTGTAAAGGTGTTTTATAAAGTGCATGTATTTTTCAATTTAAAGATGTTCTCGGAGTCTTAAAGCTTTTGGAAACTCAGATAACAGGCAGGAGCATTTAATTCATGTTTATTTCACATTTGATCTGTAAACTTTTTTATTTAAAAAATCCACTGTCATTAGCAACATGTGCTGACATTAATTTTTCTTTAGTAAAATGAGAGTGCAGGCCTTAAAGAGTCTCTGTCTGAAACATGTAGAAACTCATGTAAACACGAGGTCTCCGCCCTCCTCCGTTGACTTTGGGAATTCATCAGTGACGCGATCTCAACCAGAAAAACAGAGGGGGGGAAAGGACAACACTTTGATACCTAAGAGCTCTTGGGGCAGGAACTGTACAGTTTGGCAGGCCCATTTGTCTTTTCAAACTGTTTACCTTGGGCAAATTGTATCAGGTTTGCCTCTTCCACATAATTTACACTTCTCTGTGTCTAAAAACAGCAGCTCGACGATTTCCTCACAGTCAGCACTCTGGGAGACAGAGAGGCGCACATACAACACAAAATAGAAACATACATATTCTTCAAGCAGTGGCCCCGGAGAAAGGGAGGGAGGGGACATCAGAAAGAGGTTTTAAAGTGAGTTAAAGGGTGCCTGGGGGGTAATGGCTTTATACACGGGGCTGATGCAAGGCGGAAAGGTTCATTGCTTCTGTCTTGGTCCATCATGGCAATATTTACATAGGAAAAGGCAATTACGCTGTGAGGCACAGGAGAAAAATGGACAAATCTTTTCCCCCTCAGGACATCTCAAAGCAGGGCCAGGCCCCAAGGGACAGTCACCAGTTGCTGGTGGAAAAAGACACGGAGGGAAGTCATGACGGCACTAGAAAAGGGCTTGCATTGCCGAGGGACCGGCCCTGCCCCAGACACCACGTGTCTGCCTCTAGGGCATCTCCCACAGCAGGATTCCGGCAACAAAAGCCAAGCGACATTAGGGACCCCCGCCCCCGCCCCGCAGGTACTTTCAAAAAATAGTGTCTATTTACAGGGGAGGGTGGGAGGGCGGGCCGGGCTGCCCTGAGCTGTGTGTAAAAATAGAGATGGGGGGAGGGGAGAGCCATGTGCCAAGGCCAGGTAACCGCTTGAAGAGCCATATCCTCTGGGCTTCAGCGATGGCTCTGGACTGCTCTGTCTGGACTCAGGGGTGGGGACAATACCTTCAGGAAACAATACTGATCAGGGGCGGCCCAAGGACCCTGGAAGATGGCTCCGAGTGCGGAGCGGCCCTAACAATGATGGGGGAAGGTGGGGCGGGGGAGGCGTGTGGCCCTCGCAGCCAGTATTCTTCCCCGGTAGGGAGAGCAGAGGTTCTACGGAGC